AATATTTTTCTGTCATATCAGCCCTCTGAACACAAGGATGCAATTTCCCCAGCCTGTGGCCAGAGCGGTTAAAGGGAAGTCCTCACCCCTCTGCCGCAACCTGTTCCTGCCACCCCTCCATTCCTTCCCGCTATGGCAGTGCAAGCACTTGTCGGGCTGTGCTGTGAACTAGATTGCTGAAATGATCTGGGTTAAAAATAACCTTGTAAAGAGTTAAGGGGCATATTTTTAGCCCAGATCATTTCAGCGATCTGGTTTACAGCACAGCCCCACAAACTCATACAGGTGCAAGGGAGTGGGGGAAGGGGGAAAGGAAAGGTCAAGGGAGAATGAGCAGTTAGAAGCATAAGTTGTCTTTCTGCCAAAACCACGACTTTATGAAACTGCACCCCAAAAGCACTGAGCCTCTCGTTTTCATTTAGTGTACTGATAACTGCCTTCTTGTGGTACACTGTTGAGAGCTGGGTGCTGAGGATCACTATTTCTGGGTCCTGTTTGTGTAATCAGGACACTAGCCCTGAGCCTAGGATGCCTTACTGTTTCTGTCTCTGACACACTGTATTTGTCATTATCTTTGCCATATTTGCTTTTGCTGAGGTATATTTTCTGTGCAGCAACAAAAAAAACCCCATGAGAGTGATGGGGGAGCTTTGGAGAGCTTGTGCGAGTGCAGGGTATGGGAAGGTGGCCAGTACAATGGACTGGTGTGAGAACGGGCTGCAGGGAGTCATTCCTGTGAAGCTCTTTAGAAGCAAGGGAGGGATGTGGAGGTCAGGGACTGGCCTCAAAACCATGTCTAGATGCGGGTGAATGAGAATGGGGGTGGGAAGTGCACAGGACCAGTACCAAAAATTGTGTAACTGTCACTGATTTCATAGCTGCTGAATACTTCAGCCTTGCAAGGTGCTGTGGAGGGCTTGCATCTCAGAGTAAAAGTGCTCCATCTGGCCAAAACATCCTACCTGCAAAAGCAGACAAGTCAGAGGATTCATAGAGGAGGGAAGGAGACTAGGACAGTATAAATCTCTGCTGTTATTCAGCTGGTATTTAAGTGCTGCCTAAGCCAAAACACTCCACTGTGTGGCAGCCAATAGACCTTTGCTATTTTAATCAGCCAAACCAGGTGCACAAATGCAAATCTGAACTTCTCCTTCAGTATCCGTTTGTGACCTCCACTGGTACTCCTACAGACTAGCATTTCCAGTAGCATATTAGGGACAGTAACACAACTGATGGGGTAGCAATCCCGTGAGATGGAGTCATGATAACTTTCAGTTGCAAGGGGTTGGGTCATGACCAAAACTGCTAGCTGAGCCCCGCTGGAGCCAGTTTTACACCAGTCCCAGCAGGACATTCAAATTTGGCTTTCCAGTTTTCCCCAGGAGTCTTTGTAATTTTGATTTCATGAGAAACTTCTTGTCTGCAGTGACACTTCCCACCTGTAGCTTAAATCTATGATCTTCAAGGAAAGCTCTTTCTGAGTATCCAAATGGGATGCACAAATAAACTCTTCAATCTCTTTATTTCTGTTCTGTGGGCCTTTAATAGGCACCATCTCTCATGTGGTGCCCACAGTGGGTCCACAGGCTCTAGCGGGAGAATTGGCAAATGTCATTGAGCCAGGTAGTGACATTGCTGTCCTGAAGGGCCCACTCTGAGAAGTTATTACTCTCACACTAGGCAGCCTTACTAGCCCTCACATTTTCTGACTCATTAAATGACCAGTGAAGCTGGGATTGTTCTTCTCCAGTGCTGCCAAAGGGACCAGGTTCAGTTTTCAAAGCAGATGAAGAAAGGTGGCATTGAAAACCATTTTCGAGTTTACTCAATTTTATAAATTTATTTGGAAGAGGAAAGTGAAACCCCTCACAGAGAACTTGCTAGTTGCACTTCCTCTTTTGCAGACAGTGCCATGCTTACATTGATGGTATAATTCAATTCCTGTTTTGCTGCTCTGCCTGACAGTTTTCAGAATGTGCAATGCTTAGACACTTATTTTTATGGAACAGTAAAAGACCTCAGAGTAGCAGTCACCATATTACCAATGCACTAAGTCTTTTACCTTAGCTTGCTGGTTTTAGTGCATGAGGGCTGGCCATGCTTCTCTTCTGAAAAGGAAAAGAATCAACAGTTGGCTGCAAAGAGCACAAAATTAATGTCTGAGTAATTTCACCTTTTTTGCCAAAAAAGAGCAGAGCTGCTTCTCTTTATCATTCATAAAAGTGGTGAGCTATGTCACTGAGACCTGAAAAATTACTAGGAATGGGAGAGGTTGCATTAATATCATGGAGCAGAAGAGAGCCAGCACTGAGCTCTTGGGTGAGAGGACCAGATGCATGTCTTAGTCGTGGAAGAGGCTGAGGGCTGGTACATGCTCTGGGGTGAGAGGAAGCTTTCCACCTTTCTCCCAGCGGGATGGAGACTGCCAGTCCAGCCCCTGGAAGTCAGGGGAACGGTGTTCTCCTTGCAGTGCAAGGAAGGGAACTTTTTGCATCGAAGTGCCCCAGTAGAGTGCTTTCCCTTGACTAGAAGACCTAGAGCCTGGCACACCAGGTGGTAAAAAACAAAAGAAACTATAGAAAAAGCTGGATACAGGACGGCACTGTAATTGCCAGAAAGGATCTGAGAAAGGACTTTTCCTGTTGCAAAACATATAGTGTAATCAGAGAGTCTGCAGCTGGCAGTTTCGGGAGGACACAGCCCATGGGCTACTTGTTCTAATCTTAGAATGGCATGTTCACTGCTTCCTGCACCCCGGCCGGCGAGCTTCACGCCGGCGAGAGCCGCGTTGCAATCAATGCCTGCTACCAGCAAAACGAGAAGCGCATGGAATCATTCCAGCCCCACAGCTTTGATCAAATCCAAAGAAAGGGAGCTGTGTTTTCAGACTATAACTCAAAAACAAAAAAACACAACCACCCCAAAACAAGAGGTCAAAGAGGCCAAGAGGAAGTGCAGTGTCTTTTCTGCGTAAAGGCGAAGGGCTGTGAAAGAGCTCTTAGAGAAAAAAGGGACTGTGAGGGAGGCAACCCTTCCACCACAGATAATGAGCACTTGCAGCTTCCTCAGCCTCCTGAAGAGTCTTCAGTTCAGGTGTCCGTTCTGCCATGCCCAGTTACCCTGGGAGCTGGTGTGCTAAGCCAAGCCTCCCAGTCCATCCTGCCTTTCTCAGGTTCATTCTTTCTTCCTCCTCTTTCCCGACTGCCCTCCCTTCACAGCAGGGAGCCAGCCTGCAGCTGGGAATCACTCTCCCTCCCCACTTAGCCCAGCCATCATTTTCCATTTGCAGCAGGTTACCCTACTGATTTGCTTACCTCACTGTTTCTTCTGTTCCCTTTATCTGCCATTTCCACTGCCTGTAATTACTCTAGTGAAGTCTGAAAAGTTGGGGGGAAGGTGCTAGAAGTTCACTGATAGGAGACAGCTTGATATGGCTTTTGTGGCTGGGTGCAGGAAAGCTGGTCCGAAGCGTATGGGAAGTTTAACAGCAATGTAGTCAGGATCCTGGAAACAGGGAATGGCAGACATCTACTGGGGCTTGTAGGCCTGGAAGAAAGAAGATAGTATTTATTGGGATCATTTATTTATAGCTTTCTGAGAAAGGGAAAGGCCTTTTCCCACAGTGCAAACAGGCCTTAGCCGTGCTGCTTTTTACCAGGTATTTCAGAACAGAGAGTGCTCCAAGCTATGGATGATGACATGGTCCTTAATGTATTCTCCTTGATTTGCTTTTCATCTAGAAACTAAGAGTCTAAAGAAAGTCCTTTTTTAATATGATTTCAAGTTTCCACAGCTATTTCTCCAGCCCCTGTAGCATGTTGACCCAAAGGAAATGCTCCATATGTGGACCAGATTGGTGTTTCAAGGGCCTTTCAGCAATGCTGAAGGAGTGGTTCTGTGAATGAGACAACAGGTCCTCCCCAGGCAGAGCAGCGTAAAGGGAGAAAGAAGAGCTCTGCTGGAGCCTTTGGAGAAACAGAAGTGTGTTCCCCTAGCAACAGCCTTTGGAGAAACTTTCTGACTGAGAAGTGGAGGAGTATTGAGACAGAGGGGTGAGAAGTGTGGTGCTGGTCATGTGTTCGTGGTGGTGGTACAGGGAATTGGGGGTATGAGGTTCTTTGCTGATGGTTTGTAGCCTGGTTTGTAGTTTTGAGGTGTCCGCCGCTAACAAAACAAGGATTGTTGGTTAGCTGTTCTCAGTTCCTCTAGTTTGGTTTTCGCTGGCATCAGATACTAGAGGCAAAGAACAAAGGTTTCCTTTCATCAACTTTGATTTCAAGGCTTTCTACTCATATTGCTTGATACACACATAGCAGAGAAAACAAGTTAAATGTGGGATGACACCAGGGCTGTGTGCTGTGGGAAGAGCCGCCACCATCCCGTCTCCAGCAACCCTCCTGAGTCTCTCAGCCTGCTGTCCACACAGGAGAGGTGAAGCTTCTCTCAGCCCTGGTATTTCCTTCTTCCTCCATCCACCCACCTGAATATTTTGCTGCCAAAAAAGTAGAACAGCACAGAGACATCCCCAAGCAGATGCTGGCTTGCTGCAAGGGCAGGGAATGGCTTTTTGCAGCAGATCTACTGGAAAAGGAAGGGTACCAGTGTCCAAGGCAGTAAAATGAGATAGGAGGGCCAAGGAAGTGTATGGGAATGACCTTTACTGCTCTGCTCCATCTGCTCATTGTGAGAAGAAGATGGGGAACAGACACTTGGCTTGAAATACTTAGTTTGCTTTCAGTGAAAAACACTGAGTGTAGGATCTTCAGCTAGAGCTGAAAGGCTCTGCGTGAATTACTGGTTTCCTGGGATATTTGGAAATGCTGCTAGGTCCTGTCATCCCAAACATCTTGCTCTCAGACTGTATGATTGATGCCAGATGTGAGAAACTCTGCTTTAAGTCCTTCCTTACTCTTGAACTTTATAACACATACACAGGCTTCTCTCTAGCCTGCTTGCTTTTCCCAGCCTTTGCTCATAACTTGTTGTTCCTGATTTGTCAGAACAGGCCAGCAGAGACCAGCTCAGAGGTGGATAAGTCAGCATCACCCTCGGTGGCTCAGCTAGCAGGGAAATTCAAAGAGCAAGCAGCCAGTATCACTGGAAAAGAGGTAAGGAGCTCTGCAGCCCCCAGCAGGCAACTGAGTGGGAAAGGAGGCACTCGCCTCTGCCTGTAGAAGTCAGAGCACCAGTGATCTGGGCATGAATCCACCTTGATTTCCAAACCTTGCAAAGGATTTGTCTCCTAGTGAAATGCAAACTATCACTGTATCTTCCATGCATTGCCAACGTGTGGACAAGTATTTTGGTAGAGCCATACCTCAGGACAAGTAGGCACTGTAACTGAGACACTGTAAAGCCTGGTAGGGTATGTGTGTATCCCTAACAGTAACAGGCAGCAGTACGGGTACTATGTGTTCTAGCTTTTGTGGGCAGAGGGCAACAGTGAATAATGAAATAGCTAATATTGAGCCATGGAAAAAGAAAGGAAACAACAGATTTCAGTGTAGCAGCCAGTGGCAGGTCACCAGCATCTTGTTCATAAAAGGAGGTTTCCTCCAAGCACTTCTTCTGTACAGGTCTGAGAGAGAAAGCTCTCTTTAGTTGGCCTCTTTACCTCTTCCCAATGACATTTCAGACTCTATGCCTATCTCTTATCATGATGAAACTTTATTTTATTGAAAGCCACTATGCCAAGCATTACTTCACATGCTGTCTTTCACCAGATGAGCAAAATACTAGAATACCTGTCTTAGGAAGAAAGGAAAGTCAGAGCATTTATGGATGGAAGTTGACATTTTAGGAGAGTCCGCCTGTATCATTACACACTTTTTTAGAAGCATAAATATTTACTGGTGGCCCTCTCCAGTCAGTGGGTTCCCCTTTAAAACTTAAATGCTTCCTTTGCCACTAAGCTGATTTCACCATGTCCCCAGCTGAGCCTAAGGGGATCCTCTCTGTCACCCCTCCTGTCTTAGGCTGGATGCTATGGTGACCTCTGTCCTGCAGGGCTGGCACATCACCCTCTATCAGAGGTTAGCACTCACACAGCTAGGCCCCAGGATGGGAATAGCCAATCACTTCCCGGGCATGTTTTCTTTCCCTCTAGTCACCAGTGTGCCACTGTATCGGTCCCTGTTATGGTAATTTCCTCTTTTTGAGGTTTTAATTGCACTAAGTCCCTCAGCCTTCGGAAGGCAGCAGGTTCCCAGACTTCTCTTGTGTTATCTGCAGACCTGTGCTGCTCCCAAGCCAAGGCTTTGTGGAGGGGCCTCGCAGTGGGGGAAACTAATTTTCTCTGGAGACAGAGGAGGACGAAGTTTCCTGTCTTTTCTCTCCACGCCATCTGTCACTTCCCCACCCGCTTTCTCAAGCTGGTTTCAGATTAATGGCTGAGTGGATGGTCTTTAACCCTTGCTTGACCCATGCCAGCAAAGGAGAACCTATCAACCAGGGAACCTCTGATATCTTCACTGTCGCACAACGCAGCATTTCATGGTTGCAAAATGGTGGGGTTTCAATTAGACATGATATTATCACTTTCTAGTGTGACATAAGGGCAGGGTGGCCTTTGGCTGCTTAGAGACACAGCATTGCCATGGCTGGGTGCAGCACCACCAGAAATTAAGTGTCAGCGAGTCTACAGGTCCTCCGAGACAGCCAACTCTACAGAGGGCAAAGGCACCATAATCCAACTTTCCACATGCCTGCCTGTTAGAAGGTTAACAAAATGATCCAAATATTATATTGTGGATATTATCCAAGATCCACAGTATTATCAAGTATTTTGACTGTTAATGTGCAAAAACCATGTTAACAGCTTGGCAGGAGACTACAAACCTAGCATAAAAATAGAGACAGCTTGGCTTCAAGACCAGAGCAATAGTTATGAAGGAGCAACTCCACAGGTGCTGTGCTATGTGTCTCTTGATTCCTTGTACCTCTTGTACTTCTGAGAGCCTGTGAACATTCAGAAGGAACCAGTGTCCCTGCCATTAAACTGCCTTGTCCCTTCTTCCCTGGAGAATCTTTTTCTTAGTAAAATTCAATGTTACAGCTAAGGCCTTGTCTCTGTGAGCTGCTCTTCTTCATTAGAGATGGGCATGTTGAAAAAGACAGAATTCCCCTTTTTGCCCTAAAATATATCTGATGCAAAACAGGAAATTCACGAACCAGGTAGGCAGCTGAGACTCATTAAAAGGAAATCCTGGCAATAAGACAGGAAAGAGAACAATAACAAGCTATTCCAGTATGAGGGGGGTTCCAGTGGGATGCTTTGAAGATGAAGCTTCTGGGAAGGCTTCACCACCCTCCACAGCTTAGGAAAGTGTCCTTTGTACAAATCCTGAACTTCTGTGGTTCATGCCGCGGAAAGAGATAAAGAGTACTTTTCCAGTACTAGGACTGGGCTCGAGATGCTGTAAGTACACCTGACGTGCTGGCCACATGCCCATATGCTGGTATCTTGTGCTGCCTTTGGATGTTTCCTTTAGGCAAGCTGAACCCTGCCACCCAAACAGGTCACTTTCAGAGCATGCCCTTTGGTGCTTGAATTTCACTTCCTTTTAAAAAAAACTTCATTCTTCTGCTGCTGAGTGGGTTGTTTTCTTCTTTTAGGTACCACCACATAAGCCAACTAGGAGGAAACCACCATGCTCTCTTCCATTGTATTCCCACAAAACCGAGACAAGTGACAATGATGAGCAAGTGAGTATCAATTTAATAAGGGGATAAGATCTCTGCTCTCTGTAACCTGTTCTCTCCTGAGACAAGAGCTTGGAGGTGGCAGAGGGGTCAGCCTGTGCAGCAAAATAAATCAGTCGTGAGCATCAAATCTTTCCCTGTTCACACACACACATACACAGACTGACTCCATGCTGTTTCCCACTCCTGTAGCATGGGTGCACATACCATTTCCACTGTTTTTGTTTTTACGCTTAGAGCACAGATGGATCCACCCAGTTACCACCTTTCAAGCATTTTGAAGCAGGAACTGCTGGCATTTATTAAATTTAAACAGCGCTTAGCACAGGGAGTATCCATGCTGTTTGTTGCCTTCAGATGAACTTTAGAGGTTTGAGTATAATGGTGTGATAGTTCTGCTCTTGGGATTTTTAATTCTTCAGAAAAAAAGAATAATTAATCCAGAGTGAAGAGAGGTTTTGTCAGCAATACCTTCAGAATACTGTCTTGAGGTGTCTTCCATCCCATGAATGAGCAGGTCCCAGTAAGATGGCCACTACTCACTAAAGTTTATGTTCAGCCCCTTTCCAGTCACTTCTGTCCCTCTGTATTTCAGGGTGAGGTCTACCCACTAAATTTCACATTGTTACCTGCCATTAACAAGGGCATGGGTTTTTGTCCTTCTTTTCTGACAGCTGCAGGCTCTTGCTGCCTCTATGCCAAAGGAGCGTAAGTTTTAAAATCTCAGATTCCTTCCTTTTCCTTTGGACCTGAAGAAAACAATATGGCCCTTCTCAAAACAATGCTCTCCCCTTTCTCAAACTATGTTCAGGATTTCATAGCTCTGCCTGTACAGCCACTTAGGCCTTTCTTGCCCATACTAATTAGATATCCTTTAACTCTGTAAGTCAAGTGGTGGCAGAAAGTCTTTCCTGTCACAAATAATTCACAGTGTTTACCAATATTAAGGCTTGTACCCTTTAAAAGGTAGAATTTTAATCTGTCTGGTCCTGAAATAATATCAGAGGAAACTGTGTCATAGGTTAGATACCTTAATGAAGGCCATGTAGCAGCAGAGCCATTACACTTCACCTAACTCAGATACTTCAGTCAGAGAGCAGACAATCACTGTTTCTCCCAGAGGAAGGATACATGTATGCAGAGCCCTAGGATGGCTCGATAACAAAAGGGGAGCAGGGTCAGGAAAGAAGAAAGCAAACTTTTTTGTCAAGACACTATATGAGGCTTCATTTGCTCTCCTACTAGCACTTTCTGCTTATCTCTTCCAAGTTTTCTGCCTTCATTGTATTTTCTCTTTTTCACCTACTTCACTGTGACTTTTTCATGTTTCGTTTCGTTTTGCAGAAGCGGTCTCCAAATGCTTGCCCCATTCCCAAGGTCAAGGTGAAAAGCTCTCCCATGATTGAAAAGCTGCAGGTAGGTCCTGGAAGAGCCCAGATGACTGCCCTGGCAAATAAAAACTGTTTGGCATTTGTCATGGCTACTTCCCTTGCTGAGCAGCCACAGGGGAAGGCAATCCAGGAGCCAAGGGTGACAGCTGGGTAAGCAGGGCAGTGGCCTTATTGAAAAGAGCCCAGTCCCACAATACACAAACACAGAAGGCAGAGCAGGTCTGGTGATGGTAAGCAGCAGCAAAAACAGCCCAGTGGTCCTCAGGCACATTCATAGGCAGGTCAGTGCATGGGTCAGGATCATTTGGATCTGCAGGGTACGTGGCTGGGCATGGCAGCAGGAGCTGCAGTTTAAACGCAGCTCATGAGAGAAAGTGAGGGAGACCCTGGCTGAGACATCTTCCAGCTCTTTCTTCACAGCAGTCTAAATCAAACTGAGTCACCTGCACCCTATCGGGTAGCTGGCCCTGACCGCAAACAGCTAAAATCCTGGAAGTGGGGAAGGTGTTCTGGGCTCTGGCATTCACCTGTGCATGCCTAGAAACTCTGTGCTTCCCTCAGCTCAATTCCCTCACTTACGCACAAACACACCCAGTGCTTCTTGCCCTTTTTGTATCTCTCCACAGCGCCCAATTCATGCCACTGAGGGCAGCTCAGCACTCGATAGCCTGTTGACACAGTGTCTTGCTGCTGCCCGCTGCCTCTCCTGACAGCACGTGCAGCTCCAGAGCACAGTCAACGTAACCCTATTCAGAGCTGTGTCTCTCTTAATGCACCCAAGGATATTTGCCTATGAGAGCTTCTCAGTGACAAGCCAGCAGGAAGTGTTTTGCCACAGTTAATAATGAATTTGCTTATTTCCATGGTCTTCTCATGACTGCGCAGATCATTCAGAAGACCTGCAGGCCAGGCTTGAAAATGTGAGGTCTGCTTGGGCACACACAGGGATGGTTTAAATCTCGAAGTGATTGCTGGCTGCTTGTTCAGACTTTCTTGCAGCTCAGCTACTGTAGACTATCCCAGCTTGGCTGAGTCACTGGAAAATCCCCAAAGGCCTCAGGATGACAAAAAGATGTGTCCTGAGACCCAGCTGCTGGGGAAGGGCAAATGTCCAGTCATAACTTCTCTGCCCCGACTTGTTTGTTGACAGTGTCACCAGGAGAGACCCATAACCAGGAGGTATGTGGGTTGCAACAGCTGAGAGATGTGGCAGCTCCCGTGGCAAGAGCAAGGGTTCCTCCGTGTGGTTAACACATGTAGTACATGCCAGTGTCACGCACGCCCATGATGGAGATTTTTCTTTGCAGGCCAATCTGGCTTTTGCTCCAGCTGCTCTGCTGCCGGGAGCATCTCCCAAAAGCCCTGGTCTGAAAGCCCTGGTTTCTCCGTTCAGCACCCCTCCCTCAACGCCCAGCAGCCCAGGGATTCAGTCCCAGCCCAATGAAGTGAATGAGACGCCGGTCAGCTTTGATCAACCCCCGGAAGGCACCCAGCTGCAATTCTATAACAAGGTATGGTATGTGCTAGGATTTATCCATCACAGCAGGATAAAGCTTGCTTATTCCTTGAGTAGGAGGAGGAAGAGGCTGTAGCCCCCAGTCCTGCCATAACAGTGTATGTTTGTAGCCAAGAGAGATCTATGTGCCAAGTTCGAAACAGCCTTTCAGTGTAGATCTGGGGAGTCTCATCTCTGCCCACCTGCACATGGAGTTTCAAGGTCCAGCAGCTCCAGCAGCTTTCCCGGTCAAATGAGTAAAGGGAAAGGGTGAAGTGACAGGACACGGTCACTTCAGCTCAGCAGAAACGGGGCGGCAGGTAGCTGGGCACAGAGCACTATGAGGAGGTGGTGCCATGTGCCAGCAAATGTCAAAGGTGGCTGAGGCACAGTTTAGGGAACCATGTAGAGCACAACGGTTTGCCAGGTGTCCCACAGAGTGCACAGCATTTAAATGGGGAGCTGTAACCTGCATTCAGTGTCATTGACTGGAGTGCAGACTCCTTCCTCAACCACCAAACTGCCAAAAGTAGAAGAGGCTGGGACATCCAAAGTCAGCAGCATCTGCGTAATGAATGCAGCATCCTTGGGTTTAGGGTTTGTCTTGGACAAGGAGACACAGTTTAAATTAGGACAATGATCTCCAGCATAAGAAAAGGAGGCATCTATTAGGGAGCTGCTTGTCCTCTAAACTAGTCTCTCAGGGGTAGGAGCTCTTGTCTCCCTACTTCTCAGCAGCAGAGCAGGAAAAGTGAGGCCACCAGCATAGCAATCAGATTTCCCTTGGTATTTTCCGCTGCTGTGCTTTGCAGTACTGCTCTCTTTGTCTGCTTCAATGTCTGCTTTTCCTGTGTCCCAAGGTGCGAACACGGGGATCAATAAAGCGCAGGCCTCCCTCCAGGAGGTTCCGAAGATCTCTGTCCGAGTATGGAGATGGGGAAGATTTAGGGGTCAATGTCTCCTCTCCAGAAAATGGTGCCAAGGAAGATGGGGATGAGGTGTTTGGGCCCAAGGGCAAGACAGAGGAGGCAGAAACAGGGAGCAAAGAACAAAAGAAACAGGCAGCTTCTGATGAGAAGCCCCCATCAAGGAGAGGATCCCACAGATCAGAAGATGAAGAAAAAGGAGGAAAACAGGCGGAGGAAATGTCTCCTTGCAAGAGTAATTCCGGTGAAATAAAGGAGGAGAAGGTGTGTCGTAGTGCCCCAGGGGAGGAGAACTCTTGCCAGCCTCCCTCTGGAGACAAGGAGGAGAAGGTGTGCGAGGGTCCCCAAGGAGAAGAGCAGGAAGGCAGTGCCTGTGAACAGGAAAAGGGGGGCAAGAAGAGGGAAGAAGATGAAACTGAAGCTGAAGCGAAGGAGACCAGTGAGAGCACGGACACACAAAGAACACCAGACACTGAAGAAACACCACTGGCACCTGAACCACTGCAGGACACAGTGGGCTTAGGGACTGCCAGTGAGCCTTCAACATCAGCCACGCAGGACCAAGGCACAGCATAACCATGATACACAGGTAAGACTGGTCAGCATGATGATGGCTCCTAAAATATCAGAGCCGTTTGCTTACTAATGAAAATAGCAACTGGGACAGAACACACCAACATTGCTAGTGCTCCCCACATCTAAGAGTATTGTATCAGACCTGCAGGGGCTGCAAGGCAGAGTATTTAAAACAGCCATCCCTCTTGGGTGGTGTTACAGAGGGAGGGGATGGAGGAGAAAAGCCAATTCTGGCATCAGAAAAATGGAGAGGCTCTCTGATACCAGGCACCCTGCTCAGTTGCTGTTTTGAAATAAATTCAAAAGCCCTTATAATAAAAAGCACTTTTTCCCAGCAGTAACCAAGCAGATAGTATATACTATCTAAATATGCCTCCTTGTATATGTATATGTATATGTATATGTATATGTATATGTATATGTATATGTATATGTATATGTATATGTATATGTATATGTATATGTATATGTATATGTATATCTGTATCTAGATTCTCATTGTACATATACACGTGTACATATATATTCTCTCTGTGTTTAGCTTTTTAGCTTTGCCAGCAAAACCAGTGTTTGCACACATAAGAGTTTCATGATCATGGAAGCACACAAACACGGGCTTCTGCCACTTGAAATAAAGGAGGATTTCCACTGGCTGAAGCAGAGCTTCTTACATATTCTGTGACCACTGATATCATAGCCACAGATGCCAGAGGAAATATTTTGTTCCACCTCAACCACCTGTCCCCTCTTCAAATGCCTCCTTCGTTTGGCAAGGAGCAACTGAAGAAAGCAGGCTGGTGCTCAGGCTGCATCTTGCCTTTGCCTCCTAGCATGGAAACTAGCAATGTACCCCCAGGTCACAGAATCCTCAGCACTGTATTTACTTAGACCCATGATTATTTTTCATAATTTCCTTCCTTTTACCTTCTCTAAAGGATATACCCAATCAGGGCACGGGAGACAACATGTGAATAGGAGCCATCTAACCCAACCAAGGTGGAAGCTACTGGAAAACCTTCTGTGGCAGGAGAGGAGCAGAATACGCATATCCCTGAGGCCCAGACTCATCCTGGAGCTGAGTGGCTGCTCACTGGCTCTCTGCTTTGCACCATCATATTTTGGGACAGCGGGACAAGAGACTGGTTTGTAATCACTGCGGAGTTCAAAACTGAGGTGTTGGCTGATGTTCCTCGCTGACACCTGGGGACTGAGAGACCTGATATGTGCTGTCCTGGAGCTGACAGACGCCACCACTCCTGGCCCTCTGCTCCTTCATCCTGTTTCAAAATGTCTTTTTCTTCTCCCCTGCATTGGTCTTAGATGAAGGTCATCAGTTACATACATACATGTATGGTGCATTTTTGGTAGCTTCTTTTGAAATATTTTGAGATTTCAAATTTCAGTAAATAATGGTTTCGTAGTAGGAAAGGAGTATGTTTTCTCCATTTATGCTGTATGGCCGAAAATGTGAACCCTAAATATGGGGAAAACTCTTAGGTCATTGTTCATAAAGCATAAAATCCCTTTGAATTGGGGGCTGAGCTGGCTGCTCTGTGGAACAGCCAGCCATGGTAGGCAGTCTTTCTGTGTGCTTCAACTTTGGGGTGTTTTTAGTGCTGGTGGAAAGTAACAACCAACAGATTTGATGCACAGAAAAGATGTGCTGCATAGGTCAATAGGGCAAGTTTTCTTATCCAGCTCTGTGCTCCAGATTTAGAAGAGCTACCTGTCCATGAATCTTCCTTGCTTCCAGCCCCTACCCAATCCTCTGATTCTCTTTTGAAACTCTCAGTAATTATGTGGCCACCGAATGCCACTTGTGATAGAAAATGTCCTGGCTTAATGGAAACAGCTGATTAATTTTCTGTAGGTCAAAGAAGAGGTCTTAGACGGTTGAGTTTCCAGTTGTGTGGCCTGACTGAATACGAATTGGTGAAGGTCAGATAGCCAGTCCATCCTAAGTATTTAGACATTGCACTAGATTTGAACTCACTCTTGGGCTACTAGTTAAGTCATGGGTCTAGCAGTTGCTAAGCCAAAAAGGCTTTTACATCTGGAGAGTATTTGTTGCC